AAACCCTGCCTTGATGTCGATTTCATGAGCTTGCTAAATGAAAGGAATGCTGTGAACATAGTATATTTTGATTTCACTAATAGTTCTGACAGGGCTCCTCACAATATTCTTGTGGTTATATAGGGTGCCACGGGGTTTTATCTAGGGCCTGGTGTTGCTTGACATCCTTAGAAGCTGCACGGCATAGTGGTTAAACTGTAGTAATGCAGCCCAAACTCTGCTCATGACCCAGGTTCAATCCTAGGTAGCTGGCTCAAGGTTCACTCAGCCTCCTGTCTTTCCAAGGTTGGTAAATTGAGTATCTAGCTTGTGGAGGTGGGGAATTTTGTAGCCTCCATAATTAAATTGTAAACTCCCCAGATAGTGCTTTAAGTGCCCAGAAAAGAATTGGAGAACACAAGGTACAACAAAGTGGTTCCAGTTTAAGCAGGTCCATGCCTCCTCGGTATATATGCCTCCTCAGTAGCCTACTTTAGTCAACCGCTCTAAGCTTACAAAAGAACCATAATAAAAATGCAGCAGTAATCATTTTAAAACATTGCATTGGTAGACCAGTGCAACATAGACCATTATTACTGCTGCAAATTATTACTGCTACACTTCTAAGCAAACTGCTTGCTTTGAGAGAGTAGAATTTTGTTGCTCTAATTCCATAAAGTCTAAAAGTGCTGAAGTTTAGTCGGTATTTGCCAATTTGGGGCAAATGGCAGCTTTATACATGGATGATCAGAGGTCTGGTGCTGGTTGTGGTTTTTCCTCACACTTGATAATGGAATTGTGTTGTTTCATAATGTTAACAAATGTTAGTATTGCATTTCAGAAGTGTGCACATCTTCAAAACTGCATTTTTATTTCTAGCTGTGAGATAGGTGTACAGGCCTAGATCCAGTTAGTAGGCCCAGCGGGAGTAGCCATATGCAATCAGTTGCTGAATTCTTAGTCAGCATTTACATACCTTCCATTGGTTCAGTGGTTTGAGTTTAGGAATTGGATTTAAGCCACAGTATCTAATTCTACATGCTTCTGGTACTTGCCATGGTTCCCCACCAATGAAGTATCTGAGTGAAAACTGTTCTACATGCTTCTGGTACTTGCCATGGTTCTCCACCAATGAAGTACCGGTATCTGAGTGAAAACTGGGCCAGGCCTGTGTTTGCAAACCAAATTATTTACATGTATAATTGACACTATGGGTATTTAGCACTTATTGAAATAATGTGAAAATAGTGGGAGACTGTAGCTTGAATCTGTTTTGGTGGTACGTCTTTTCCATATGCCCTCCTTCTTTTCCTTCCTGGTATTTTAAAGCCCTCTACCATGTGTCCTATAGATGTCTGTGTTGTTTCCCAAGTCATAAAGCTGCTTACCTCACACTACTAATTTATTCTCTCTCTCTGAAAAGAAGCTGGATGTAGAAACTGTAACATGAGACAGAAGCTGAGTAGAGCGCCAAAGATACGCCTGTGAAGAACAAACTGCACTAAAGGGATAAAAGTCAAACTCTTTGTAAACACTGCAGAGCAGACCATCCAAAATACTTAATTTGGTTCTGCAAACATTTAGGAGAGGTCACCAAGCCACTTTCCATACATGTACATCAGTTTCATCAGTGGCTGTTTTAACATTAGTTTCTTGTCAAACATGTATCTGAACCACTTCTTCAGTAAAATTACGATATGCACTTGGACTTGGAGGGATTATTATTTTAATGGCTGATTAATGAAAAAGGATTAAGAAGGTTATGTAGAACTTTCATCACTCAGTTTTTAATGAAAACTGAAATGTGGCAGCTGGTGAGGACTGCCTTTCCAATGTGTTTCCTAACAAGATTTTGAATGTACCATATTTTTCCGTTTATAAGACGACCCAAAGTATAAGAAAAAAACTCCTTCTTGCTAAACTCTTTGCTTTTGTAAAAAAAAAAAAAAGAGCTGCCTTCTGCGTATAAAATGACCCTCATTTTTTTCTCAAATTATTTAAGAAAAAAGTTTTGTTTTATACATGGAAAAATACGGTAAATCTCCAGAAATAGCAAGAAAGCTCGGGAAGTATCTGCTCAGTGACTGGTGAGGAGTGTTTCATACTGTGCATGGTCTGCAAGAAAATAATGAAAATGGTAAGGGACTGCATAGTATGAATGAGAGTTGCAAATTGCTAACCCGTGAATGCCACCATTATTAAGAAAAGTGTAAGCTTTTTCCTTTATATCATGTATTCAGTATAGCTGCAGTGGAGTACAAAAAGAGTCATGTTTTAGTTTAATAACCTTCAGTGTACATGTAAGTATATGAGTTTGCATGTGAACAAGAATGATCCCTGAAGTTTATTCTAAAAAAAAAAAAAGATTAAGAACAGGGCAGAGTGTTCCCTCTTCCTGCAGGCCTCACCCAAACATGTTGCTTGACAGGCTATAGGAAATAAATGTGTCTGCGTGCAGTAGGGTTGTCTTTTCTTGGCCTCACTTCTTTAGGTTTGCCTGTGATGCAACATCTGATAAAATATCTCTCCTAAAGAATAATGTCAGCTGTTTTGTTAAAGCTGTTTGATCTTTAATCCTGAGGGCTCCTCTGCAGTTTCTTTTCCTGGAATTCTGAGTACACTGATTTGTTGTTAGCTGCTGTCAAATCACTTCTGACCTAGGTGAGTCTGTGAATTTGTGACCTCTAGAAGGTCCATCAATAACAGCCCTGCTCAGGACTTGGAAACTAAAGGCTGTGGTTTCTTTTATTGCATCTGTCCAAGCTGGACCATAAGGAAAGCTGACTGCCGAATTCTAGTGCTGGAGGAGGCTCTTGAGAGTCCCCTGGACTGCAAGGAGAACAAACCTATCCATTCTGAAGGAAATCAAGCCTGAGTGCTCACTGGAAGGACAGATCCTGAAGCTGAGGCTCCAATAATTTGGCCATCTCATGAGAAGAAAAGACTCCCTCAAAGTCTTCTCTTCTCAGTCCTGGAAGACCCTGATGTTGGGAAAGTGTGAAGGGAAGAGGAGAAGGGGACGACAGAGGATGAGATGGTTGGACAGTGTCATTGAAGCGACCAACGTGAATTTGACCAAAGTCCGGGAGGCAGTGGAAGACAGGAGGGCCTGGCATGCTTTGGTCCATGGGGTCACGAAGAGTCACACACGACTTAACGACTAAACAACAACAACAACAAGAAGCAGGTGTAGAAATACTGGAAACACTGTAAGGAGTTAGTAACGCAACTGGTGCTACGTTGTAACCGTGTTTCCCTGAGAATAAGACAGGGTCTTATATTAATTTTTGCTCCAAACATGCATTAGGGCTTATTTTCAGGGGATAGTTTTTTTTTATGTACAACAATCTACATTTATTCAAATAGAGTTATGTCATCTTCTTGTTGCTGCACAATGGTGGAGGGCAGGGTTTCCCTTAACTGGGGCTTATTTTTGGGGTAGGGCTTATATTATGAGCATCCTGAAAAATCATACTAGGGTTTATTTGCAGGGCAGGACTTATTTTCAGAAAACAGGGTACAGTATATGAAAGCAAATTTATCTATTTCAATTATTGGTGGCATAAAAATGTAACATTACAAAGCTTTAGACTAACATTAATTATAATATTAATTCATTATTTAATTATGTTAATTATAATTTTAGTACACTTCTTTAGAAAACTGTTCTTCAGAAAAGCAATTTCTAGCATTCCTCAATTGAGTGTCCTCCAATTCTGTTAGACCAGCGGTCCCCAACCTTTTTAGCCCTGCGGACCAGCTGGGGGAGGTGGGGCATCACCCTGCGCTCATGTGCATGTGTGAAGGAGCACGCTTTTGCACATGCGCAAAGGGCAGGGCAGCGCTTGTGCGCAAAGGGCGGTGCAGAGCTTGTGCGGGTGCTTGGGCGCAGGCACAAATAGGCTGTGCGGGGGGGAATGCGTGTTGGGGTGGGGAGAGGACTCTCTCTGCAGCCTGGTCCAGCTCAGGCCACGGACCGGCAGTGGGCTGTGGACCGGGGGTTGGGGACCTCTGTGTTAGACTACAACTTCTGCCAAAAGGTCAGTATTGGGGAGATTGAGATTGTGATCTAAAATCTTTGGAGAGGATGAAATTGAAAATAACTGCCTTACAAATGGACATAAAGCCCCTCAATTGAGTAATCCTAAAAGATACTTAACGCAATAAAATTTGAGCAATTCAGATGGAGGACAAATAGATTGAAGTCCACAGTGGCTTGTCATTAAATTGTTAGTGGCCTATAAAAAGTGATTGTCTAAAATAGCTACAAACAAAATAGTCAACTGTTAGAACAAACTTATTTTCTTTGTTTGAAATCAGTGCAATCAGAAATTAGTTCCTAGTATTTGGATAGTAATGTAAATGATTAAGCAGTTCACTTCCTCTCTCCACAATAAGATTTATTTTGGGGAAAAAACTTTTATACTTTTATAGATAATTATATATCTATATAGCCTGGAAACATAAAAAATGTCAAAGACTGTCTGCACTCAGCTGGCTGCATTCAGAGCAGTATTCCTTCCTTACCCTTTTGTGGCCCTAGAGTTTCAGCTGAATACTGTGTTGATTTTTGCTTTTAAGCTGAAACATTTAAAAATTGAATAATTTCATGGCAGGCCAGTATTATTTGATTTTGATTATGTTCTGTATGGGCCTAAAAACTGTGTTTTGGCATACTTTGCAATGTGGTTCCTTGAGGCTTTGAATTCCAGACTGTTCAAACCACAGCACAAACTCATTTTTAGAAAATGTTCCTCCGTTCCAAATGAGTTTCCCATGGGGAACCTGCTTTTGGTAAGATATCGTTGTAATCAGAAGCTGCCTGGGGTATACTATTAGCTGTTCTTATATGCCTGGCTATGTCTCCTATGGCTGGTGCCACAGTCTGTGAACAATATTTATCTGTTATCTATTCAGTATGGTGCTCTTGTTCAGTGCTTGCTTTCCAATTGTTCTTCCAGTTTTACAAAACTTTGTTGTGATTGTGTGCTGTCTAAATTCCTTGGTCTGTTTTTTCTCAGTCACATCGATCAGACAACAACATGGCAGGATCCAAGGAAGGCCCTCCTTTCCCAGATGAATGTTACAGCTCCCACAAGTCCTCCAGTGCAACAGAATATCATGAATTCAGCAACTGGTAAGGGGAAATCAACACATCTTTATAAAACTTACTGCAGGTGCTTTTGTATTTTGTAGTTACATACATCGCCCAAGTGCAGGCTGTCATTATCGTTTTCTATAAATGTTTGATATACAAAATAGATCCTAAACAGGTTTCCTTCTATTTAATTACTACATGCTTGTGCTTCTCCTGAGTATATAAAACACACAATTAACAGTGTTAATTTGTATAATGAGGGACTCTCATTACCTCTGGAAATGGGAGTGTCATGCAGGTGAAGAAAACAAACTTGCTTCCTTTGAAATAGTTCAAGACTGGTTTTGAACATTGTATCAGATTTTGCATGTTAAATGCTCAAATTACATCATGTTTTTACTCTCTGCTTCTCTTTATCTTCCTAAAATCATCCTGATTGAGCTCTTCAGAGATGTCAAAACCAGTTAAGATTTTTTAACTGTTCTTTGTTTTTTCATTTTTATGATTAACTTCTCTATTCTTCATATGATACAAGAATAAAATGTTGCTCATATGTCCACTGAACCAATGGCTAAGAAAGTCTCATTCGGCCATCAAAAGAGCATTAAAATACATGAGGAGGTTTGTTTACTTTTGCATGTGCTAGGAAAACTTGTAAATTCGTAATAATGTTCATTTAAGCTGCTTGCAGATCTCAAAATTCAGATTCTGGGGTCTCAAAAGCCTCCCTAAATTTAAAATTCCTGCACATTGATGCTAACAAGCTTATTTACGATTAGAGCAGATAAGCCTGCAACAGTTGGAGGAGATGTTAGAAATCTGCATGGCCTGAGCCATTGGGACATTGGAGCAAATCACATGCAGTGGAAGTCAAAGATAGACACCTCAGGAGTGTGGGGAAGGTCTATACTGCTCGCAGAGATGGGCACTTCATTTTGTAAGCCTCCTTAGGTCGTTTCAAGGAGAAAGGCAGGGTATAAATATACACGTGCCTGCCTGCCTGCCTGCCTGCCTGCCTGCCTGCCTGCCTGCCTGCCTGCCTGCCTGCCTGCCTGCCTGCCTACCTACCTACCTACCTACCTACCTACCTACCTACCTACCTACCTACCTACATACATACATACATACATACATACATACATTGTTGTTGTTGTTTAGTGGTTAAGTCATGTGCCACTCTTCATGACCCCATGGACCAGAGCACGCCAGGCCCTCCTGTCTTCCATTGCCTCCCGGAGTTGGGTCAAATTCATGTTGGTAGCTTCGATGACACCGTCCAACCATCTCGTCCTCTGTCGCCCCCTTCTCCTCTTGCCTTCACACTTTCCCAACATCAGGGTCTTTTCCAGGGAGTCTTCTCTTCTCATGAGATGGCCAAAGCCTCCGCTTCAGGATCTGTCCTCCCAGTGAGCACATACATACATACATACATACATACATACATACATACATACATACATACATACATACATACATACATACATACATACATACATACATACATACATACATACATACATACTACATACATACATACATATTTGTGCATGTGTATCTAGCTCCACTGTGAAATGCCATGGCCATGCTTTTTTCTCCATTTATTTTTACTTTGTATGCTATCTTGACCCCACAATAGGAATAGGAATCAATAGGAATCAAAAGTGTTTTTAAGCCAAATGATACCAAAGTAATGCAATGTGTGTATGTCCAATCTTCTGGACAACTACAAAATCATCAATCAGCTCCTCAATTGATAAGGTGAAAGCAAGTCCAAGCGAGAAAATTTTTGATGGTACACACTGGCTTCAGTCAAGTAAACCGTGTCAAACACTGAAAAGCTCCACCTTTCATTTATTATTACATTTTAGATGTGCATTTCTTGGTCATTGTTTTTATCTAAAAACACAGTAAGCAGCAGTATTTATTAACAGACTATTTAAGCAACTGTTCAGTGTAAAGTAAGTGACACATGAAGTCAAAAGGTGAGTGTGTCTTTTTTGGCAGTTCTCAGCAGGGGAGAGAATAGGCAACTGAATTTTCTCAGGTAGCTGGAAATTATAAGGTCTAGGCCTCAAAATCAATCTTTGTCCCATGATGCTATCCCACTCCTCCTGTGGTATTAGGATGCAGAACAAGCCTGCACATGATTAACACTGTAGGGTGACAAGTTTTTGGCAGCACCTAGTGTTATACAGGAGAGCTCAGGTAAGATAATGTGAAATCGCAGTTGGGGGGGGGTATATTCCCTGGAAGCAGGCCGTTCGGAAGCTTAGTTTGGACCAAATTCAACTTCCCTAGCAGGACGAAGCTCATACTCTCCCTGTTGGCAAGTGCTATGTAAGAATTTGAGAGAAGAGAGTCACTTTGCCTTGAGAAGAAATGATCAGGAGTTTGCCCTGCTTTCCCTGAAAAAGGTATGCCTGTAGCCCTGAATGTAAATTAAAGCCTCCTGCCTAACTTAGCACATTTTACCCAATGCGAGTGAGAGTTCTTGCATGTCCTAGGGTAGTTTCTCATACCCAGTGGTTCCATTCTTATGTATGAGTCTTCATATGATGGGTCATTTTATGAGATATAAATAAAACAAAATTCTGAAATATTAGTATTATAAATAATCCAGTTTTGTGCATAGATCAAAAGTTCATTTACAGCTTGGTTTTTCTGATGGCTAAGCTGTGTGAAGATACAATGGAGACATTGTAGTACTATGATAGTGCTAATTTTCATATCTCTTATCTACCACTGTTTTCAGAAGGCAAATATAGATTGCATGGTGTGGACCTCTTGCTAGGTAGTTGAAGAGCCCAAGCTCTTGTGACTAGCCCTCTAGTTTTTCATTGCAAATTCTCGAAGTATTTTGAGTAATTCTGGTACTATTTTGCTCAAATTTGAATTTGTTAGACAGCATGGCCTTTTATTTTATTTTATTTATATACTGCCCCTTTAGTGCGAGCATTACTCTGGGTGTTTACTTTCACGCCCACAAAACCCCTTTTGGCAAGCCTGAACACTTTATTTCTAGAAGCAAAAACTGCTAAGCTGAGACTGTCGTACTTTGAACACATCTTGAGCAGATGACTCACTGAAGACAGGAATGCTGGGAAGAGGTAAAGGTGGCAGAAAAATAAGAAGATAGAATATGAGATGAATTGATTTAGTGAAAGAAGCCATGGTGTTTGCAAGACTGGAGCAGGACTGTTAAAGGTGGGCTGTTTTGAGTACTGCTAATTCATAGACTTCCCAGACATTGGAAGTGACTCAGTGTCACATAACAACACCACAACATAGCCTTTTACATAATGGAGAACTGTGAAACTAATTGATCATTCTCCAGAAGTGGTTGTAGTGATCGTAGCATTCAATGTTTCCATTAAAGACTGATTGACAGGAAATCACAAAAGTGTCCGAGAATTATATTTGGTCCATTGATCTGTTAGGAAAAAAGTAGAGGCTTGCTTTCTGGATAGTCAGTTGATTGAGAGAACACATTTGGGCCAACATCAGAGGACTAGTTTAAAAAAACACTATATTAATTAATCCAAGAAATATGCAAGATTGTTGTGTGTGACTTGGAAAATTATGATACTCACTCTGATTTTCCTGACCCCTATTTTATTTGTGTGTGTGTGTGTGTGTGTGTGTACTGCCAGCAGCAATTTAAAAATTTGATTCAAATGTAAACATTCTTTTTTTTAAAAAAATTTGTTTTGAAAAGCATTGATTTTTTAAATTCTCGGTGTTGAAGAAAGGACGTACAATTAATGTAGTTACTTGTAAGAAGTTTTTTGAGGGTCAACAAGCTTCTCTAACAAAGTTACATTTAAAAAATAACATCAAAATCAGCCAAATTTAAATTGTGTATTATGTATTTCCCTCTTCCCTTCAGAATTCATGCATATGTTTTATGCCATTTTGCATTTATTCAGTCTGTTTTGGTGTTGTCCCGTCTTTTTTCCTTTTCTTATTAGATATCTGTACTCTTTTGTTATGCATTTGACACCTTATTGTGAAAATGTTTGTTGGTACCCTGGTAAAGTGTTGAAGTAATTCAAGTTCTTGCTGAGCTGTGAAACCTGATACATGATCTTGAGTGTTCAGTAACATTCATTCAACAGTTAATGGGAAGTCCTAAATTTAAATATATATAGTTCATCATTCATGCATGAGCTTATAGCATGAGAGCAGATGGCTGAAATAAGCAGAATGGACAAGAGCAGTTGCTTAGTTTATGTTACATTGAGTGAAGTTTAGAAGGACTAAGAGCTGTATGGACAAGGTGTATTCTATGAAGAGTAGTTTGAAGTTGAAGTAGTTGCTTTCTGTAGGTATGCTGGAAGAGAATTTAAGTAGAGATGGACATCAACCTTGGTTCAGAGGTTTGTGCTGGTTCGCCAGCACAGCATCACAGGTGCAGTGTGTTCCCTCTCCCCCTGGGCAGCTCCCCAACTCAGCAGCTGGCATATGCTGCTTTTCTTTTCTTCACACATTCTTCCAGTTGCAGCAGGAGCACAGACCTCCTCTCCACCTCCTCCAGCAGCTGCCCACTGAAAGCAGCAGTGATGGAATCCCTTTTCTGCCTCGTCTGAGTGGGTGGCTGCTGGAGGAGATGGAGAAAGGAAGTCCATGCTCCTACTGTCACTGGACAATTGTGCAAAGAGCAGGAGAAAAGTAGTGCACACTGGCTGGTGATTGGAGGAGCCGGCTAAGAGGGGGAAGGGAATGCGCAGCACGAACGTTCAAACCAAGGCTTGTGCCCATCCCTAAATTTGAGATATAATAAATAATCTGTAGGGTCTGAAGGAAGTTGGAACTTTTTTAGAACTGATAGTGATGGTAACAGCTGGAGGTTCAAGGGATGTGTGCAGGACTATATCTTATATAACTTGAACTAATATATTTTAAATTACATATCTTACCCTCCACTTCTGGAGTTTTATAGAAAAATGTTGTATATATAGTTATTTAAACACTCCTTTTCTCCTCTCCTCCTGTCTTCCCTTTTTTGTTCTCTTGGGTGGTCTTCCTAACTTAAAAGTTCATTCTCTCTGCTTTGGGGGAGCAACCTTTAAAGCTTACTGGTTAATCATCTTCACTTTCCACATAATCTGCATACATTTGCATAATTACTGTGTGTGTGTTTGGAATTTGCATTGGAATTAAGTAGAGCATGTTCTTCTGTGATGTCTCAATGGTGAACATTAGTAATGCTCGTTAACATAGGACACTTCTGTGAAATAGAACACTTTGGTTCCCATCCAGTAAACAAACGTCTCTTATGATTAATTGTTTAGATATTTCCTTTAGTTTACAGAATGCTTTGTAGCCTCTAGTTCATCTGTGTTGTCATCAGTCTTGAGAGAACTAGGTGATTAGTTTTCCCATTCCAGAGGCAGTGAGAGAGAGAGAGAGATTGAAGCAGCTTGTTCTTTCCAGTGAGTCCATGGTCCTGATCTTCCCTGCTCAAGTCCAGCATTTGAATGGCCCTCCATGCCAATGCTCACAGAAATCATAGAATTGGAAAATGCAAAAGTCCTTTCATTGAAAGTAGCATGCTACAGTGTTCTAATAATTTCACATAGCGGTTGTTGTGGGTTTTTCGGGCTTCTTGGCCGTGTTCTGAAAGTGGTTCTTCCTAACGTTTCGCCAGTCTCTGTGGCCGGCATCTTCAGAGGACAGCAAACTGTGCTGTCCTCTGAAGATGCCGGCCACAGAGACTGGCGAAACGTTAGGAACAACCACTTTCAGAACACGGCCAAGAAGCCCGAAAAACCCACAACAACCATTAGATCCCGGCCGTGAAAGCCTTCGCGAATACAATTTCACATAGCCTTTGCAGATATATCTCATCATTACATCAAAATAAAGTAAAATCCGTGGAATGGTTTAGAAAAACTAAGCAAGGAAAACAAAGGGAACCAGCAATAGATCTTTATAGTCCTTTTAAAGATTATATAAACATTCAGCAACTTCTAGAGGGATTTAAAAAAGAGAAACAAAGATGGAAATGCTTGCTTGATTTGAGTTACTTTTTAAGACTTGGGGCACAGAAAATAACCTCCTGCATATATATTAATTGAGCTTTGTCTAAGCCCCTCAAAGTGAGAATAAGAAAAAGGTACCATGTCTTCTAGGACTTTGAAATTTTCACTTCAGATATGTTGGAACAGGTGCTGCACTATAAATCAGTTTCCCTTTCTGTCGCCCAAGCCCTCATTCATAGCTACTATAGAATGAAACCATTGGTTTCACACGTGCTCTGTTCTATGCAAATTATTTTGGGTTTCTTTCTAAAGTTCAGTTTTCTTTTCAAAATTTAACCTTTTCAGTGGGGGCACACCAGAGCCTACTATGAATTGCTTCCTTCTGTGTTACAGGCCCGCTCCCTGATGGATGGGAACAAGCCATGACCCAGGATGGAGAAATTTACTACATAAACCATAAGAACAAGACCACATCTTGGCTAGATCCAAGACTTGACCCACGCTTTGGTAAAAGTTCCTCTCACTTAAGACTTTTTTTCTTTTTTTACATAAGACACTTATGTACTGAAGTAAACATAACCATTTAAGTCAGTGTCCTATAGCTAAAATATTGGCTAAATATTTCAAATCAACTTGAGATATTCACTCATCAGCTTAACGTAGTGTCTCAAGCTAGATCCGGATTTAGATGTACTTTGAGCAGACCCACTGTAATCAGTGGGATTACATTAACAGTATGTGCTTTCAAGTTGATTGTGACTTACAGGGACCTTCCTGGGTTTTCTAGATACAAAGTACTCAGATGTGATTTACCATTCCTTCCTTTTGATGGCATTGTGGGACCATAGAGCTTATCAAAACTGTATAGGCTGGCTTTTCTGCTAAGAGACACAATGGAGAATCAAATGCCCAAACATTAGCTCTGAAACCCTCTCAGATATCCAATCAGCTGGCATAATATTAGTCATGACTTAAAAGCCCTATTGATTTCATTGGGTCTTCTCTAAGTTTGACTAAATCTGGGTTCACCCCATTATCTCTTGTGCCCCTGCCTACTTCTACTAATAGCAGATAGTCCTATCTTCAGATATCTGGTGATGTTTCTCCTCGAATACCTCTTCCCTTTGGCCTCATGGCCTTCTGGTTATTAGCTGCCATTCCTTCCTTCTCTTAGATTCATATTCTTCAGATTACTGTAGTAAGATTTAGTAATTGTATAGTGCTGGGAAGTTTTACCTACATTGTCAACTGTTGAAATAATCTTGTATGGGTAAATCAATATTTCTATTCCATGTAGGGGGGCTAGAATATTCAATGATAGTTTGCCTAAAGGCACCTGGTAAGTTTTGGCCAGAAGGAAATTTGGACTAGAAGTTTTCAAATCCAGGGTGCAAATTCTAAACATTAGTGCTATGCTAGGTCTGTGTTCTGAAGAAACATCTGATGAGCATTCTTAATCTTATTTCTGTACTTTATCTTTCCTTCAGCTGTATTTTAGTACTGTACCTCTTCCACTAAGACCCTTCTCTACACCCCTGACCTCATTCCTTCTGCCAAGTCAGGACATGACTTTCTTCTCCTTTGGATGATTTCCCATTTCTTGCTCAGAAACTACAGTGGTAGCACATTTGGCTGACCCTTCTTTTCCATAGCTAGGATGATTGTGACTATTCTCCAACTTTACAGTAGGTCAATAGTTTGCATTCAAGCATAAGTTGCAAATAATAGCTGAGTAGTACCAGTATTCAGGATATTATAGAAGCATGCCTGTTTAGTACTGTGAATCTTTGCTCCATTTGGCGAATCCCATAAAAATATAATTACACTGGAATAACTCCCACATTTTAACTAGGTATTCTAAATCACTCCAATGTGCCATAATAATGTGTACAATAGATCCTTGACAAATCGAAATTGATTTAAAAAACTGGAAACATAAACTGGTTTATAACAAAAAAAGTTTGTCTCTAGTGTAGTATTTGTTGCAAATCTAGCAACCACTGATGCTTTTTCTGTGTGAGGTAAATGTGAGAAATTCAAACACACCCCATTGCTGTGAATGGTGGTTTCACAGCCGTAGGGTATATTGAAACATGACCCTGACGAATAAATGAATTTTTACTAGGGCTGCCATTAAATTATGGCTGTGATTTTTGGCAGCTACCCTGTTTCCCCTAAAATAAGACCTGAAAATAAGCCCTAATATGATTTTTCAAGATGCTCATAATATAAGCCCTACACCAAAAATAAGCCCCAGTTAAGTGAAACCCTGTCCTCCACCATAGTGCAGCAACCAGAAAAAGATGACATAACTCTATTTGAATAAATCTAGATTGTTGTACATGAAAAAAAATCCCCTGAAAATAAGCCCTAATGCATTTTCGGAGCAAAAATTAATACTGTATAAGACCCTATCTTATTTTCGGGGAAACACAGTAGTTTACACAGGTAATTCAGAACTGAACTTCATCCTTTTGGTTTCCTTTTCTTTCTTTGCATAAAATTTATTGGAAAGTCAATTTTGGAATAAGTTTCAAAATAAAAACAGATGCTTAAATAGAAGTAACAGTTTTTAGAGTCACTCTCGGTAATGGATGAGTGATTTGAAGATTTTCTTAGTTTAACTTGCAATGAAATCCCTATATAAGTTTATTTAGAAGTGCAGTCTGTGTTCACTGAGGCTAATAAATTTAGAATTGCATTCAAAATTCATGCTAGTAGATAAGTACATGTTTTTGTTTTTCTGTGAAATATTGACTGAAATTGTGTAGTAAGTCACATGAAAGTAGGCCCATTGAATCAGTGGGGATTTGGTGGCTCAATTCCTCTGTGAGTGGAATTTGATTTTAGTCAAAATAGCTGCTCCATGAAATTTTGCATGGTTGTCTATAATTTTAAATGATTGTGTGAATGGGTGCAGATTTCTTACATCGTTTTTTTGGCCAGTAAGGAGAAAATGAATAAAAATGGATGTCTCTATGTAGGATCTTTAGTATACTGTGCTGCTAGGTCCAAGGAGTTCTCTGAAGGCATGCAGTGCTGCTGCGTTGTTAAAGCCAAGCAAGGTTCTGCCTGGACACAGTGGTTTCATAGGAGGCTGCCTGAAAACATTAAAGAAACTGCACTGAGTTTCTTGACCAAGATGAGGCAGTCACCATAAGTAAACAATGATTGACTTTTCAAAAACTAGTATATGAATGTCTGTGTAGATAGAAATATTTAGCAACATGGTTATTGGCGCGAAAGCAGAACACTGTGGCTTCCAAACGTCAGTTTTCTTGGCTTTATTGCAGTTATGTAAAAATAATGTGTGGATCATTGAGCAGGTCAGTCAGACTGGTGTACAAAATACTTTGAAGATTTACTGGGGTTTTGACATATTAACAAATTTAGGCCTTTGGGGAGGGGGAGATATTTAAGTCCACAAATAATAGAATGCACATCACTGGAAGATGCATTGTTTCATCAGCAGCCTCTCTGCTAATATTTGTATTACTGTTTAAACTTTAAAGACAATGTGAGACTCCTACAAATAATTAGTAATAGTAACCCTTTAAAAGCCCTCTGTTTGCAGATGGAGAAAAAGGTTGTGGATTGCAAACAAGCAAGAGGACTCAAGAGTAATTCAGCCAGTGAGACACCACACCAGTACCTGAACTGCAGCCTAACTGTAGCAGTCAATGAAAGCAAAGCATTACTGCTGGGGGTGCATGGATGGTGCAGTACCCTTGCTTTAGTAGTATGAAATGCTTCTACCAAATCAGATTACCAAAATGCCTGTTAAATATATTTACTTCATTATTTATAGGCTGCCTTTCTCCAGTAAGGAGACTCAGAGTGGCTCACTTTATTAAAAAGAATTAAAAACATAATGAATTCTACATTAAAAATAATTAAACTATAAAGCTGATTAAAATAACCTTTGCATGATTAAAAACATGTAAAACGTTTAAAACTATCTTAACAAAAAAAAAGCGGCATTCAAGTAGTCAGTCTTGATTGTTAAAGGCTTGTTGCCTGAAAAGGTGGGTTTTCAGCTGTTGGTGGAAGGATAAAAGGAAGGGCCCCACATGATCTCCTAAGGGAGACCATTCCATAACCTGGGAGCAGAAAAAGCCCTGTCTCCTGTCCCCATCAACCATCTCTGCGCTGGCAATGGGACCGAGAGGAGGACCTCCTCTGATGATCTTAAGTGCCAAGAAGGCTCATAGGGAGAGATACGGTCCTTCAAATTAGAGGTGCTACATAGATATAGTGGGAACTGGAACAAAATTTTGCAGTGTGATCTGTGTCCCTAATCAGAATGTCCTTCTTAGAAATCTAGCTAACGTAGGAACCTTGCAGTGGTGTGTTCAAGACTTGAAGGAGAGAGGAATTTTCAGGAACATGGAAGAAGAAAAGGAACACCTGCTTTTTCTTCTCCCTTCCTGAAAGTTTCCTGTGCTGTTGAAGTCAGATGCAAGGCGGCTTGACAGTCCCACACCTCATTAACTTAAATTTCTTATGGCACAACTGGACAGGTTTCTCTAGAGTGATAAAACCCATTCAGACCCATTCTTTTTTTAAAAAAGCCTTGTGACAGCTCTATACTCTCAACCACCTGGCTCAGAATTGTACAAAATGTTAATATCAAACAGCCCCTTATAAGAGCATTGTATATTTACTTCCCTGTCAAGGAAGAATCAGCATACAAATGGGTCTGCTTGATACCTTGAGAATTTTTTTGTGGGGGGACTATAGCAGTTCTAAACATAAATGTTATTACGATCTAACTCATGAGGTGAATTTTATTTATATGTAGTGATTCTGTAATATGGAAGAATGGTTAATTTGGATAAATGTTAGGAATACAATACTGAAATTCAAATGAAAACCTAATTTGTATATTTAAATTACTTTAAGAAGGCAAGCATGTAATTAAGAAGTCTACAACAAGGGCTATTTATGCAGTGCTTTGATGTACTGTTGGACTTTAATAATACCTATTGTTTACAGAAATTTTGGGATGTAAGCACATTGGCTAAAATTACTTCTTTTCAGAAATGAAGTCTCTGTGTATGTAGGGATTTGGCCTCTACTTTGTTAGAAGATGATTACTTGAAGTTTTTGAGATTAATTTTTATTACAGCTGGCGTTTCAAAAATATTAATTAGAATAATGCTGTTGTTGATTCAAATTCTTATGCGATAGGGATTATTCTTTCATATTCCATAATAATTGAGATATATAACTGAATACATAGGTCTACAGAGGAACTCTTAATGTCAGAACCACCTTTCATGCAAGGGGTGTGTGCTTTGTAATGAAAACAATTTTAATTCCATGCCGAGTAACAAAAGCTTGAGATCTGTTTTAACTCTGTTCCTGGCTAATTAATAAATCAGTATTTACTAGAAATGCACAAGTCAAAAGACTGAAGACTTCATATGAAAATGGATCAGAAAGATGATCTTGCTCTTCCTTCTAATTTAATTTAAATTGTTTCTTTTAAAGTTAGTCCACCATAT